CGGCCCCGACCCGCGCTGAGTAAGCGCGGGGGGGTGGGTGCGCCACGGATCAATTTTCGCACCGGGGCCCCCATGGGTCATGTGTACGCCACTGGGTGAGGCGTAATAGAAAGCAGTTGTTGATAGCATAAAATCTAGCCTAATAAAAGTTAGTGAGGCAAACATAGAGTCCGTTTGGGCTACGTTAGAATTTGGTAATCACACAGTAACTCGTGTAGGTGTGATTTATAGGCCCCCAGGACAAATTGAAGAGTTAGATAATCTACTAGTTGAGGAAATAGCTAAAATGACAATGAAGGGGGAAGTTATCATCATGGGTGACTTTAATCTTCCTGATGTAAATTGGAAAACAAAATTAGCTACTTGTGCCAGGAGCACACATATTCTAAACTCCCTACTGGGATTGTCTCTAAAACAAGTTGCTGAGGAGCCAACTCGTAAAGAGGCCATACTAGATTTAGTGTTAACAAATGGAGATTTGGTATCAGATATTACTGTAGGTAAAAGTTTAGGATCCAGTGATCATCGGTCAGTGTGGTTTAATATAAGAACAGTGACTGAGTCACACCACACAAAAACAAAAGTTTTAGACTTTAGAAAAACAGACTTTTCTAAAATTAGAATATGGGTAGAGGAGTCATTATCAGACTGAAGCAATTTAAATGGAGTCCAAGAGAAATGGGATTATTTAAAAGTTGCACTATTGAAGGCAACAGAAAATTGCATTAGGCTTGTCAGTAAAAGCAAAAAATTCAAGAAACCACTGTGGTACTCCGCAGATGTAATGGTATTTATTAATTAATGACTTTACATCATAAAGAAAGCATATTTAGTGTAATGCTTTGGGGGCACCACTAGGGGGAGTGTGTAGGAAGACCTGTGCTTCTGGCAGTGACATCACAGGCCAGCCTACTTACACTGAATAAAAACCAGATGTTAGGAGAAGCTCTCTCTCTTTTTGCCTGTACCTGACTGATCATGTAGTACCAGCTCTGACTTAGCCCCAGCCCTTTGGCTGGGGCCTTGTAAGTAATATGAATCCATTGTAACAGTTAGCAATTGTAATAGCCTTTTGTATAATATTTAGCAACCAATAGTGTTTTGTGTAGTATTGTATTGTATAATTATTGAAACTGACATTCCGCTAGCATCTGTTTATTTATTATAGTTATATTAAATATACATTTAATATTACAACATTTTGTGTATTTTCTATCCACATATTCGACCATAATACCATGAATTATAAAAATATTAATGTTGTTCCGTATTGCTTAATTATTATGTATTAAAAGATTAATATTCATATTTAAGTCACGACCACAACATATGGCGTAGTCGGCAGGATTATGCTTGAATATTGGGGGAAATATAAATGTTATGCATTTTGCTTAAATAATACAGTAAATTGTCTGTCTGTATACAAATGAATAAATGAATGATGATTTGGTTTTAATGGAATGAATGCAGATAGCAGATAGGGATTAGATATTTGTTTTTAAGGTATCTCTTGTTATAGAACATAGTAATGAATTATTGTGTTGCTTGTTACCAATCTTTGGTCATTTGTATATAAAAAAATATATATATATACTTTACCTTTTGTCTGACCATGTGGATTTTAATCCACCATTGACCACATGGTGTGAATGAGTTGAGGCCTAGTTTCATTGTTTGCTACCATTTGCATAGGAAAAGACTTTTCACTAAACTAGTTCACCAGGTTTTATTGCTAAATTTGACTCTGTTTGTGTACTAATTTACATTTGTTTGGCATTCATGGATTTGTCTAGTTGAAAAGAGATTTGGACAAAATTTATTAAATTAGTAGTTTAGTAAAGCAGATTCAGTGAATAATAGATTGTGCGTATACACAGAATATTAGTATAAATATATATATGATTTTGACTCATGAAGGAGAGACCACCTTTTTAACAGCTGTGTGACCATGCTTTTCAGCTACAGCTGGGGAGAATTTGTCCTTGTTGGGGGTGGGTAGTCTTGCCTGTATGAGAAAAAATAAACTGCATTGTTTTGTAAATGTAATTGCCTAAACTAATCAATTTGTGGAGTGTTTTTCAGCTTTATTATCCAGGACTAAGGAATTACTGGACATATGCAGGAACTGGTAACAAATGAACTGAAAAATGGTAAAATAATTCCTTTGTCCTATTTAGTCTGAATATTTTAACAAGTTAGCATTTTTAACAAAGTAAGTGTAGGGGCTCAGATTAAGATTTATATTATTTTAGAAGCCATCTATAACTGATTTTAATATTTCCATGCTTTGAATTAGGGTGTATCTGCCTAGCGGGTGAACCTCCATAACGTGGGCTGTGATTTTAGTTACAGTAGCGGGTGGGGAACCTGAGCTAGGGGGTATTTAAACGTGTCCGGATAAGGGGGAGCATACCCAATAGTTGTTGTGCAGTTCTATCCTGTATTATTATTATTATTTGAAACCCTGTATTACTTATAAGTAGCGTTTTGTAACTTATTTGTAATTGTTTATATATATTGCTCTGGGAAAGGGATAGGCAAAATCTCTGAGAGACCAGGAAATATATTTTTTAAAAAGGGCGTATTACACTAGTGGTAGGGCGGCCTATCATGACCATAGAGACCCTTGGTGACTAGTTTTTGTTGTATATTGCCCTGGGAAGGGGATACGCTATTTAATAGAAATTCCTGAGAGACCAGGAAATATACAATAAGTGATACGTGAGTGTACTGGTTAAATTGCAGACATATTGGCCCAGAACCTTTAATCGAGCCGGAAAAGAGGCTGCTGTATGTTTGCTCCTCTATAATTTTGCGGGGGCGGTCACCCCCATGCGGAAAGCCACTGCCATCACAGGGTGGTTAGTTGTGCAGGCCCTTAGCCGCGAGGTGCAAGCATGTCCGTGGAAAGGCTAGAAATTAATAGGGAGTCACTCATAGCTGTCAGAAGTGTTGAACTTTGAGACATATTGACCTATATCCTTTCAGAGGCGGAAGAGGTGTTGTGGTTCACTCCTCTATAATTTAACCAAAGGGTGGAGAGTTATTAAACATGTTTAGGTTGGCTAGAAATGTGTTTCCTGAATTGCAGAGAAGATGCAGAAAGCAGCTATTAGCTTATTGTTTTTTAAGAGCCTTAAAAAAAATACAAAATTAAGAAAGTTATCTTGTTGAAAAAAATTGTTTATAAAATTAAAAGCTGAAGGAATGTGTTTACATGTCTGTGTGTGTATATATATATATGTGTAAAATATTTGCAGTATACGCTGTAAGTGACTAGGAAAGTAATCCTGATCTGTTTCCTAACCTTTTCAGATGTAGCAGAAACCAGAGGTGGACATTGGAACACAGATAGAATATCAGATGGAGACCAGTGTTTAAATGTTGACCTTTGATGAGCTATTGAATGTTGTATTTTATTGTCTATTTAACATGTTTTTGCTATGATTTTGTGCATACTATTCTCTTATTTCTAGTGATTGTATTGCAATTGAAACCCTTATGTATTATTGTTGTATGTATGTATGTATGCTTGCCTGGGAAAGGGGGGAATTGACCCATAGGGACCAGGGGGTATTTTTGTGTAAACCAAACTGGGGTGGGAGGGCTCTAACGAGGGAACCCCATTGTCCAGTAGGTGCTTGATTTGTGTCTGTGTAAAGTGCATGAGTGGTTGCAGTTAAAAAAAAACCAAAAAAACGGAAGAATGATAAGAGGGATAAGAGAAAGTAGGCATTTTGGGTTATCTATACATGTTTAAATAGAAGGGTGGTAAATAGGAATGTAATTGTTTTGGTTAATGTTTAGATTAAATTGGTTAAATACAGCAGTGATAAAGAGTGTTTAGATTAAATTGGTAAATGCAGCAGTAATAACGAGTGTTTGGGTTAAATTGGTAGATACAGCAGTGATATTGTGTTTATCTGTGAATCAGGAGTGTGCTGGATGTGAAGAGAGGTGTGTAGGTATTTATCCAAACGCCATAGGAAAAAATATGGTTAAGACACCACAGTCAAATGGTACTTGTGATGATTGGCACAGTTATTATTTATGTTTGTGTTCGTCATTGCCTGTGTTTTCATTCAAGAACTTTCAAGCAAGGATATTTTAAGCAGAAGAAGAAGAAGCACTGGACACTATGCTCAACTGTTGCTGTAAGGAGAAAAAATATTGCAGCTAAGAGTGGTGAGAGTCAGAACAAAATGCATCAGGGGCAGGAAACTGTTACGTCAAGGTGGTTAATGGTATAAAGAAAGAAAAAACAAAACAATGTGACCACAAACACACAAAAGTCCTTGATCACATGAACTGTTTCATTCATCCCTGTCTCCATGTGTATGTTCTATGAGACTGTCGAAGAATAGAGTATCCAGTTTCCAGGACTAATGTTTGTGAAAATTCCAGGCACACAGACCAGCCAGAGGCAGGGGCGGACTGACCGGTCGGGCACTTCGGACACGGTCCGAGGGCCCGGCCGGGAGGGGGGCCCGCCGCCAGGGCCGCCTTCAGGGGGCCCGGCGGCAGGGCTGGATTGGGGGGGGACTGCAGGTGCCACCGGGTGGCCGGTCCGGTGGCACACTGTGAGGG